GACTCACCTCAATGCATCGCTCTGGCACCAGTCTCCTCGAGAGGGGTTGGACGCTCTTCCACTCTGGAGTTGCCCATGCTGAGAGGCGCCGAGCAGGAGTGGGCATACTTATTATTGCCCCCATCTCGGTGCCTGTACATTGGGGTTCACCCTGGTGAACAAGAGGTAGCCTCCCTCTGCCTGTGGGTAGGGGGGACGGGTCCTGACTGTTGTTGGTGCCTATGCGCCTAACAGCAGTTCAGATTACCCACCCTTTTTGGAGTCCTTGGAGGGGGTGCTGGAGAGCGCTCCTAACAGGGACTCCCTCATTCTGGTAGGGGACCTTAATGCTCACGTAGGTAATGACAGTGAGACCTGGAGAGGCGTTGTTGGGAGGAACGGCTCCCCCGACCTGAACCCGAGTGGTGTTTTGTTATTGGACTTCTGTGCTCATCATGGATTGTCCATAAGAAACACCATGTTCAAACATAAGGGTGTCCATATGTGCTCTTGACACCAGACACACAAGGCCGCAGTTCAATGATCGACTTTGTTGTCATTTCATCTGATCTGCGGCCGCATGTTTTGGACACTTGGGTGAAGAGAGGGGTGGAACTGTCAACTGACCACTACCTGGTGGTGAGTTGGCTCCATTGGTGGGGGAGGATGCCAGTCAGACCTGGCAGACCCAAACGTATGGTGAGGGTCTACTGGGAACATCTGTCAGAGTCTCCCGTCAGACGGAGCTTCAACTCACACAGTGGAACACATTCCGGGGGAGGTGGGGGGCATAGAGTCCGAGTGGGCCATGTTCTGTGCCTCCATTGTCGAGGCACGGACACTGATCTATTGCCGAAAGGTTGTCGGTGCCTGTTGTGGCTGCAACCCTTGAACCCACTGGTGGACACCGGCAGTGAAGGATGCTGTCAGGCTGAAGAAGGAGTCCTATTGGGTCTTTTTGGCCTGTGGGACTCCGGAAGCCGATAGGTATCGGCAGTCTGGGTGTTGCAGGGTTGCATTGGTTGACATGACTCTATAATATTGTGTGGACATCGGGGGCAGTTCCCCTAGATTGGCAGACCGGGGTGGTGGTCCCCCTATTTAAAAAGGGGGAGCACAGAGTGTGCTCCAACTATACTGTAGGGGGATCACACTTCTATGCCTCCCTGGTAAGTTCTATTAAGGGGTCCTGGAGAGGAGGGTCCGTCGGATATTCAAATCTCGGATTCAGGAAGAGCAATGTGGTTTTCGTTCTGGTCGTGGAACAGTGGACCAGCTCTACACCCTCAGCAGGGTCCTGGAGGGTGCATGGGAGTTTGCACAACCAGTCTACATGTGTTTTGTGGACTTGGAGAAGGGGTTTGACCATGTCCCTCGGGGACACCTATGGGGAGTACTCCGGGAGTTTGGGGTACCAGGCCCATTGATACGGGCTGTTAGGTCCCTGTATGACCAGTGCCAGAGCTTGGTCCGCATTGCCAGTAGTAAGACGGACCCATTTCCGGTGAGAGTTAGACTCCGCTAAGGTTGCCCTTTGTCACTGATCCTGTTCATAAATTTTATGGACAGAATTTCTAGGCACAGCCAAGGTGTTGAGGGGATCATTTTTGGTGATCTTAGGACCGTATCTCTGCTTTTTGCGGATGATGTGGTTCTGTTGGCTTCTTCAGATCGTGATCTCCAGCTCTCACTGGAGAGGTTCGCAGCAGAGTGTGAAGCAGCCAGGATGAGGATCAGTGCCTCCAAATCCGAGACCATGGTCTTGAGCCAGAAATTGGTAGCGTGCCACCTCCGGATCGGGGAGATGGTCCTGCCCCAAGTGGAGGAGTTTAGGTATCTCGGGATCTTGTCCACGAATGAGGGAAGAATTGAGCGGGAGATCGACAGGCAAATTGGTGCTGCATCTGCAGTGATGCAGGCGCTGTACCAGTCTGTCGTGGTGAAGCGAGAGCTGAGCCAGAAGGCAAAGCTCTCGGTTTACCGGTCGGTCTACATTCCTACCCTCATCTATGGTCACAATCTTTGGGTAGTGACGGAAAGAACGAGATTGAGGATACAAGCGGCTGGAATGAGTTTCCTTCGCAGGGTGTATGGGCTCTCCCTTAGAGATAGGGTGAGAAGCTCAGTCATCCGGGAGGGACTCAGAGTAGAGCCTCTGCTCCTCTACGTCAAGAGGAGCCAGTTGAGGTGGCTCAAGCATCTGGTTAGGATGCCTCCTGGATGCCTCCCTGGTGAGGTGTTCGAGGCATGTCCCACTGGGATGAGGCCCAGTGGAAGACTCAGGACACGCTGGAGGGACTATCTTTTTTCGGCTGGCCTGGGAGCTGACCCAAGTGGCTGGGGAGTGGGAAGTCTGAGTCTCTCTGCTTAGGCTGCTGCCTCCGCGACCTGATTCCAGATAAGTGGCAGAAAACAGATGGACGGATTTTTGTTCAACCATAGCACAAAAACGGCCAAACCAATCAACATGAAATTTGGCAGTAATGTAGATGAAGCTGACCTGCACTGTGTCAGCAAACGGTTTGACAATACACCCCATATTTGAAGAGGGGGCTCCTTTTAAAGAGGGCGTGTCTGGACATGCAAAAATGCTTATTACAGAAACTGTTCAACATTGAAGCTTCAGATTTCTTTTGTTGTTTAGTGCTGATGAAGCTCTATCCAGTGTTTCCCCTACCATTATACAGACGCCCAGCCTTCCCCTACCATTATGCACACGCCCAGCCTTACTGCTAATATGTTGTCTACCTTCACCTCAGTTTCTCTTTGAAAGACACCTTTAGGTTTCTAAAGGCCACATTAGTATTCATTGCCTTAAACTTACATTCTAAAAGTCCTGACTGATTTTAAATAAACCTGCAAAACACAACACTTCTATTGCCCTTACTGCAACAGATTATAGCTTTTTAAAATACCTGTGGCCTTGAAACACAAATGAAACAAAGGCTAAATTCTAATCTCATTCAAGGACAACAGGGAGCCTAATAGAGATCACTCCCAAGATGGACATCAATAATGGGAGGCTAGATTGTGCACTTGCTCTTCCAAAGTAGAAAAACAGCCCTTGACAAGGCCCCATTATTCAGCAGCTCATCTATTACTTCACACATCACCTGTCACCCTGTCAGCAGGCTGTGCATCCAGAGGTTGCTGTTGGTCATCAGTCATATTACCCGTGTTAGAAATCCTGTGGAATTTTTTTATTTTATTAGTTTTGTAAGTTGCAGTTAGATACTTGTCATGTGAAAATTGAATGAACCACATTTTCTCTCGATTTGGGCTCCCAATATGGGTTAACTCTGACAGGGGGACCCATTTCACCTCTGAAGTGATGCAACAGTTGTGTCAAACACTGGGCATAAAGGCAAACTAACATGTTGGCCATCATCCCCAGGCATCTGGCCAAATCGAATGGGCAAATCGTACCATAGTGAGTATTCTGAAGTGCTTTGCGGCAAACCCTAAAGACTGGGACATTAAACTGCCTCTAGTACTCATGGCCATTTGTGCAATGCCTCATGAGTCCACAGGTGTCTCCTGGTTCGAGATGACAGGTAGACAGATGACATTCCCTCTTCATCTGCTCTACCAACCAGATGAAGCCGGTGTAGTGACCACCTACACCACCCAACAGTACATGACTGACTTAACCAAAGACCTGAAAAACATTTTCCTTTGCTCAGAAAAAACTTAAAATAAAATGGCAGAAGGACGCAAAACTTACTATGACCAAAAAGCTTCACATTTCAAGTGGGGGATAAGGTTTGGTACTACATCTTTGCTCCAAAAACTGGTTAGTCCAACACTGAAACCAGAAAACTTGTGCGTAAACTCATGGACCGGACCCTATCTTACCGATAAGCTCTATCTGGTCATCTACCAAGTCAAAATCACCAAAGAACCATTGTTCAAATGGGTTCACAGAAATCAGATCAAGCTTCACAAAGCTTTCACTAAACTCACAGAAAATAGTCTTATGGTGCGTTCACACCGAACGCGATTTCAGCATCAGGAGCATCAGGTTTACATGCAAAGTCTWTGGTGGACGCGCTTCAAGCAATGTCGGGAAATGCTGCGGCGCATCAAGCGCGATTAGAGCAGCGCGATTTGAATGATTTGAATGATCTGAGCGTTCGACGCGCTGAGGCGCAAATCGCTGAAGTTAGAAAATCTCAACTTTTGCAGCTCGTCTCGCCGCGTCAACCAATCAGAGAGACTCCACTGTGTGACGTAGTGACATATTTCCCGACGGAACAGTTTACTGAATGATGTCCACTAACCTGAAATAGACTGAGAGGAGCTCTTTAGCTGAAATGAGTGCCTGCAGTCGGTGTCTTGACAGGAGATATCTGCACCAATGCGTGGCAGTGACTCATCAGACTGGAAAAATAGTCCTGAAAGCGAGCTGTGAGCCTCTACTCTGAATTATCAGGTGAATTAATTATGAATTAATTATCTGATGAACGTGGCATGCTCTTGCTCTCTGTAAATAAAGCAAAGCCACTTCCTCGTCRGACATTAAACAGAGCCCGACAGAGGAGGGAGGGGCGGCGAGGCTCTTGCCGTGCAGCGCTTCAACAGCTGTCCTGCGTCTGACCTCAAAGTGCACAAGCTTCAAACTTCAGCGTTGGCTGCAATTTTGAAGCTGAAATCGCGTTCGGCGTGAACGCAGCATTAGAGACTAAACAGCGGACTCTGTGAACCCACTTCACTATTGGTTTATTTTGTCCTTTAGTTACTAGACGTATAACATCTAGTCTACAATCTTTTTCATCTCCAACTGTTTTATAAAACTTATTGCTTTGTCTTTCATGTTGTTATTTTTACTGTTTTTGACAAACACTTAGAAGACAGATTTATAGTGGAACTGAATACGCAGGACACAAGCAATAAAAGGTAAGTGATTTTATTTACATGTTTAGTTCATCAATCCTGAAGATGGAAGAATCCAGGTGAGTCCAGAGTGATTGATTCTTAGTGAGAGATAAAATGTTAATATTATNTGAACAGTAAAATGAACCTCAGGGTGGTTGGTTTGCAGCTTGATGACAACGAGGTCAGTTATGCAACAGCAGCTCTGTGGCTCAGTGCAGATAAGAGCAGCACCTTATCCACTCTGTGTAAAAACCCTGGAAACTGGTCTGAATCCTGATTATACTCAGACATCAGGCAAATAAAGACGATAACGCACCAACAGTTGCAGTTATATAAGTATGTGTTTGTGAGACTCACTCTGCAGACAGACATCTGGTTGGTGGTCAGTGTGCCGGTTTTGTCCGAGCAGATGACAGAGGTGCAGCCCAGGGTCTCCACGGAGGGCAGGCTACGGACAATAGCGTTCTTCTTGGCCATGCGGCGGGTTCCCAGGGCCAGGCAGGTAGTGATCACAGCAGGAAGGCCTTCAGGGATGGCAGCTACAGCCAGGGCCACGGCGATCTTAAAGTAATAAACGGCTCCGCGTATCCAGGAGCCTCCGTGAACGGGGTCGTTGAAGTGCCCGATGTTGATGATCCACACGGCGACGCAGATGAGGGAAATGACTTTGGACAGCTGCTCACCAAACTCGTCCAGCTTCTGCTGCAGAGGGGTCTTCTCCTGCTCGGTGGCTGCCATCTCGTCACGGATCTTACCAATCTCTGTGTTGACGCCTGTAGCCACAACAACGCCCACGGCCTTCCCAGCTGCAATGTTGGTGCCCTGAAACAAGACAAGCACGCAGGCTCACATGCAGAGTTGTAAAGTAACGAAGTACAAATACTTTGTTACTGTACTTAAGTAGAATTTTTGGGTATCAGTACTTTACATAAGTAATTATTTTTCAGCCTTTTTACTTCTTACATTTTCACACAATTATCTGTACTTTCTACTCCTTACATTCCAGCTTGTTATTGGAAAAATAAATATGTAATATAATAATATAAGTATATAAAATATAATGTAATGTAATATTAATTGTGCCTCCTAGATAGAGTGAATTTAATTGTGGTTGAATG